GGGACATAGTGTGCAGTTTTGGAACTTTGGAACTTTGGAGGCCCCCCAAAGTTCCAAAGTTCCAAAACTGCAGACCCCATGACCTGACCATAGCCACTCTGGGGACATAGGTTTGTGCTGTTTTGGAACTTTGGAACTTTGCTACTTTGGTAGTCGAGATAATTTAAGAGCAGGTGGTTCTTTTTTTTGGGAGGGGCTAGCATATATATATATATTTATATAGTCGCATCACAAACTGAAACACAACGTGTCCAACAGAATCTGGTTGCAACACAAACACTTTGGACTACGATGCAGACGTGACGTAACAGAACACTCTATGTGCAGAACACTGATGCAGACCTGGGAAACTTGGGAAGTTTCAATTCTTAAAGTTTGAAGCGTTCCTTTGAATTCAACCCGAGGCCCTGCTTCTCTACTTACTGTAATTAAGTAGGCGCCAACTTAATTACAGTAAGTAAAGGGAACAACTTGTTCGCTCCTAGCCACTAAGTTACTAAGACGCTACTACCGGACGTATAGCTCACGCACTAATGATTTTGGTTCCTAGATTTTTGCGGAAAACTTAACTAGGATGCTTGTGCGCAGCCCCTTGATCCTAATGCCCAGCCCTCTTACAGCTTCTCCTCCTCTCTTGTAACATCACACTCTCAACTCCATTTTATTTTGGTCCTGTATAATCCGAAATATCCTTCTGTTTCGTGCGGAGAAAAGAGATTCCAACATTCCTCGGCACCCTCATGCTACCTGCACAGGTCGTTCGGTTCTTGTGCAATCAGGGGGGGTGTTTGGATGTGAATAGAGAGGTTGCATCGCCTGAAAAAAACTGATTACACTTGGACATTCAGGCTCTCAAAGAAAATAATTTTGACATGTTTTGACAGGATCTTGTCTTTAAGATCAAGTGCCAAGTCATGTGTTCTTCACCTTTCGGTTTGAGACTCTATATACTGTTATTACTAAAAAAAAAATCATATGGTAAGGCCAGAATCCTTGATTTTAAAACAAAACACAAACAAGTCAACAAAAAAAACATCAACTGGAAAAGTCAAAATCAAAGACAAGTCAAATTGAACAGTCAAAAAAAAGTCAACCATAGACCACAGCTCGAAAAAGTAAAAAAATAAAAGTATAAAAAGTCGAAACAATTACCAAAAAAAAAGTCAAATTAAAAAAACAACTCGAAAAAATAAAAAGAACGTGAAAAAATGTCAACCACTCGAAAAAGTAAAACAAACATGGAAAAAAAGGTCTTAAAAAAAAAAACGGTTAAAAAAAGTCGAAAACAAGGAAAAAACATTGAAAAAAGAAGTCGAACAAAGTCGGATCTGTGCAAATTGACTTTTTGTTTGACTTTCTGAAACTTTCTGATTTGACTGTTTTTTTGCTTTGGGATTGACTTGTTTTTGATATATGTTTTACTTTTTTTTTATTTGTTGCAAACAGGCTCTTTCCAATGAAAGTTTTTATAACTCTACTGTCTACTTCAACCAAAGGGTTCAAGTCCCCATCATTTCCATCAGCATTGCTGGAGACAGCATCTTTTGATTACAATCCGCATCACCGTTGGACGCTGGAGCCACAATGAAGGCATCATCATCCGCAGTAGTCCTTCCGGAAAGACACAGCCCATCACACCCGAGAAATCAAGGCCATCGCTATCGTTGCCAGCTACAGCGAATCTGATGTCCACAGCTTTGGAGTCCTGGTCTCATCGGCCACTACGCGGAGGCGCCTTCAGCAATGGCTCCATATGATTTAGATCTGCAAAAGCCCGGGGGGAGTTAGGCCGCATAGCCACGACTAGTATGGTAGTATATGGTACTTACTAAGCGATCCAGTAGCTACTAACTACTAGTACCAGTACTAGGAAAGCTCACGCTTCTAAGAGCGATGGCATCCAACCTAATAGCAAAAGGAACCTCCTAATCGCAATGGCCTCCAACCTAGAAGCGATGGCCTCCACCCTATTCATGGTTCCTAGACTTTTAGGGAAGTAACGCTCATCTTTACATGACCTGCCCTGCCAAGAACCTCTAGAAAAAGCAACAACCTTGCTATTGATCGACATTGAGTTCCTTCTGAATGATCGGGTGCGAGCAGTCCTGGGTTTGACCAGCCTCCGCAATTTGACATACAGGAAACCTCTTGATACCGCCGATATATGTAAAGGTGTTGCCCACCACAGAAGCCAAATGCATGCTTGATTGGCACCGCCTGCGTTCCCTGCTGTGGGTACTCCCTATACAAAGCTAACAAGTGTACACAAATGTAAGCTTGTGAGTTGCAGAGGCTGCAGCAGGTCCAGCAAGGCAAACCCCTTACGTACAATAGAATCAACAGAATAACACACATGTTTTCACTGTGGTATCACTGCTGCCATCAATGTGCACCAATCCCAATAAGTCGAGCTGGCTGTCAAACTCACTGTCTGATGGAAGCCTTTTGCAGGCTTTGTGCTTGTCATGGACACCCAAGGCCATCATTGTGCCACAGCACGGTTCACGCTGGTTCACAGTGGTATGAGAATGACCATTCCTCGAAAGTCGAAGTCGAAGTCTTCTTTCCTGAATCTTGACCTTGACTTCGGCGTTGCACGGCGTCTGTTGACGACAGCATATGGCAGATGTTGCCTTAGACCTTTCATGCCCTTTCACGTCATTTCCATCTTTGCATCGCATCCTCCACAAGTGTATCAAATTCAACATATATATGGTGGTTTAGCTGAATCTCCAACTGACCTGCCTGCGTAGAAACCAACACTGAAGACTCGGGCTATGTGGCTACCCGCCGAAGGATCTCAATAAGTCTGTCAAATAGATTGAACTTGCATAAAAATGCAAACGTAATAATCATATGTAATCCTCTGAATTTCGTGAAGTTTTGTGAATGATTCGATACTGCCTGCGGTTCAATAGAAGCACGTAGCAGCAGGTCCCACTCTGCCATCGACCTGCCGGGGTCGATGAGCCGACTTTCAGGTTCTCTTTGAACTTTGAATGAAGCATACATACATACATACATACATATGGAAAATATGGAACATACTAATACTAGATAATACTAGGACCTCTACGATCTCTAGGGTTCATATGACGAATACATGCTCATACACTCGGTTTCACCCACAAGAGAAGCTTGATATGTACTGTAAATCAACAACTTAAGACACTCATCAGAACAACAAGAGCAACAACGACCACAGCAAGACAAACACCCATGGCTCAGCCGCTTGCAAACCAAGGCAAAGCAATTTCCATCAGAACTATTTGGAACTCTGAACTCTTCTGTGAATTCCATCGCGGCGCAATTAGGTTCTTGCCGATTCAATCCAACCACTCCAATCACTGGACCTACTTCTGCAAGCACTCTGAAGTCTGCGTCTTTGGTACAAATAAATATTCAGGCGTGTTCCAGTAGTGGTGCCACCCGTGTAGATCTCCATCATAGTTCACAAAGCTGAACCATGTGAAGTGCCAATCAAGAATGCCCACGCTGTCAATATCATCATCGTCGCATTGAATCGAACTGCAATATGTTTGCTTGGAATAGAAGGTATAAGATCAAACTGACCAACCAATCAAAAGAGGTGGCAAATGGAATGCCGAAGAAGGTTGAATACCAAATAACTGGTCCAAATATGTACATATATACATAGAATAAAGATTGTCGTTGTCAACGCAACCGGTAGTGACTGCTGAAATCTGTGCTGAATACGTTCCGTTCGATTCCCGAACAGGCCCAAATGAACTGATTCCTTAGTCTCAACACTGCTTGAAAGGCCGGAGCGTCTTGCCAAACAATCCACCTGTGGTCCAGTTCAGAGACAGCATATTCTGCTTCGCGGCGACTGCTGTATTCAACCTGAGTGGCTGAGCACAATCAGCTCCGTTGACTCTAGGCAGTACTGAGGGCCGAGGGCGTGACCCATCCTTTCTTTGGCTGCTTGGGTCCCCCATCATGGAGTCTCAAACCCAAAACCTGCTTTTGGCCGTTGCTAGCTGAAATTAAGATCTCGTGTTTAGTCCAAATGAGCTTCTGCCTTGCCATATGCAGAAGCAGTGTCCTGTCCACTGCAAGGCAATCACTGCTCCGAGTCTGTAGCTGCTGTGCCAAAGATCAGTCCTTCAGCTCTCCCTCGTCCATGTCGTGGGGAAGATTTGAGATAGCAACTCGAACAGCCCGCTCCTGCCAGGGGTAGGAACTACAAACCCAAGTTTGCACACATTGAGAATCATTGAGAACAGTGATCTATTGGTCTATCTATCGTAGTTAAGTTGTATGTCATGTGTATCATTCCTCTACACATCTACGAATCGTTACGAATCTACAAATGCAGAACGCTTATGCTGCAGTTGAGCTGATATGTGGTGCAACTCTGCGTTGGTATACAGTATACACTGCTGCATTGTCTTGAGGTTTGATCCGCATTGTCGCCAGTCCGAGCATCACCCTTGGACATCTGTTCTACAATGAACAACGTATACAGTAAAGCAAGGCTAAACCACACACTCTGACTTGAAGCTCAAGAAGGGCAAAATGTACAAAGCAACAATTGAATGCCAGATTTACTTTCAATCACTTTGTCTGTTCTCTCGCTTCGAATAAATCAGCAAACCATTTGGCCAAGACAGTCAGGCTGGAACAGTGCTGGCTGTGAAGTGTCCTCTGGCGCATGCCGAGAACGCGAGCGATCATGTCGCCGTCCATCACCCGGTGGACCTCAAAAACAAATACACGCAAGCTCACCGCTCACTTCTGCCTCTATCACAGAAGTTACAGAAGGGCATCGCTGCTAGGAGCAAGAAGCTACTGTTAGCTCCTGGCCTTACTAGGAACAAGAAGCTACTAGGAACAAAGGCCATCGCTACTAGGAGCAAGGACGCTACTAGTAGGCTAGGCGCAGTGAACGAACATCAAACGTTAATTCCTTTCAGAATTCCCTGTCTTCAGAAGCGATTATGATATTATGAAATACGACATATCATTCCGATTACTCTTATTGTCCGCCCGTTGACTGCTTCTCTACTTTGTTAAGCCTGAAAGACCCATTCTGTTTCCATTGCCATGAAGCAGCACCCAGGTACTCACTCAGGGAGTGACCACTTCGGTGATCAGACCGTCCCCGGTCAGGGACAGGATCCCTCCGGTCCTGGTGATGATCTGTGAAATTGCAAGAACGATCTGACACAATTAACAGCAGAAGGAACCTACTAGGAATGGCCTCCAACCTAGAAGAGATGGACTCCGAAGTGCAATAAATTACACTTGGAACCAAGGGCCGCACATTTCGCTGGCCCACGTCTCTGTTGTCTCTAGGCTCACCTTCCGACCATTCAAACTATCCCAGCAGGCCAAGATGCAAAAAAAAGAATCGTCACTCACAAAGTGCAGGCTTTCTATCCGTCATTCCATCCCTTCACTATCCATCCCTCTGTCCGTCCATCCAATGGCATCCACCCCTCCAACTGTCCATCCATTCATCTGCTCCACTGTCCCTCTGCTTTTTACTCCCATTTTCTACCTGCCGCCAAGTTAGACCCAACTTGCATCACTAGCATCATCACACAACCCCAAATCACAGCATTTGTGTGCATTAATCACACCGTTTAACCGACCCATGAAGTTCCACAAAGTTGAACCATTTTGGCCCTATCTTCCCCCAGAACCATATATAATTCACTTCGTTCGCAAATATCGAACTTCAGCCTAGCCTGCCGGCTGGCTTTCGCAATTAGTTTTGTCCGCCTTGTTCCTTCACGCCTTTCAATAAACCTTCTAGCCATTTCCAGCCCATTTATATTGAAGCCATGCAATAGCCCACAAACAATGAGTTTAACTTACAGTATATAGTCCACATTTCTTGTTGCTAACTTCTTTGGCAATACATTTGCTTCTTGCAGAAGAGTGAGTGTTGTTCCGGAACCTGAATTATGATCCACTCAGGTATATATTTGTTATTTTTGCTAGGTCCTGCTAGGTACACTTGGCTATCCCGCCAGGGCTGCTAGCATGCAGAGCTGACGCTAAGAAGACTCTAGAAACTCCAAAAGGAATCTGTTCTGATTGATGTTCACTGCACTGCGTAACCTCTTATATTTCCACCTGATGCGCTGCCTGCACGCACGCGCACGCACATACAAGAGCCACGGGGCATGCAATTATCTGCACAAACTACAGCTCATGGGGGGTGTGACATGTTAATCTTGTTGAAAAAAGAAAGAGCCGTTGCCATGCAAAAAGACAGGAAGTTGGACACTGTATACTGCAGGTTCAGAATTAGTGAGTTTCTTAGACAAGAAATGGACACATCCTGTGCCTCTGTCCTGTCGATCTCCAGCGCCTTGCTGACGGCTTTGCACAGCTGCTTGATGACTTCTGCTTGCTCGGTTGAGACTGTTGAGACCCGCACGATCTTTGCTGTCTGCCCTTCCTCGGTCTCCTGTAATTTTGAAAACTTGCAGAAAAGGCTGCAAACAAAGAAAATAACATCCGGAAAAGGAATGCCTGTATTTCTTGGTTGGTCACTTTCATCACTGAGTGAAAGGGAAGCATAGCTCTTCTATCATATCGTAAGTGGTGGGCAACGTACCTCTGGGTCAAAACCTTGAACCCTTTGTGAACACCTAAAAAGGATTAAACATGGCTCTGAGATGCTTGTGGTAGACTTTGGTTCTGATCATCTGATGTGTGTACGACTTGCAACGCGAATACTTACACTTGGGAGCCCACAAAGCAGCCAAAGCCAAAGTATTGTAATCTTCTGATAGATCTGATAGATTCTACATGCATTCTCAGGTCCATTCAGGTCCATTCTATCCTTGCCTCGTCCTGCAGCCCTGGCATGTGGCAAGGTGATTTAGTCAATGTTGCTTTGCAATGTTCTCCAGGAGTCCAACACTGTCTACATCACATGTATTTCATTGTTTGTGTTTTTTAATGTACGTTTTCATAGCTGAAGTAGAGTCGGGAAAGCCTCTCCCGATTTTCGGGCCGTCGAGGTGGATCCTTCCATGGCGGAGGCATCTTTCAAATGTTCTTTCGCTATAACCGTCCAGCAATGTGCAGGCTAATTCCTTGCATCTTTCGGTGTTTCGTTCAGTTAATTTGCAGGGCTCCAAACTTTGGAGAGAACCCAATCGTCGTCCTTCTTCAGTTGTATTCACTGCTACACGGCGACTACACGGCCATTCTTTTCAAGACTGCTTTTGAGTCTGCTGTCTTTGACATGTTGAAATTAGCCCAGCTGGCGACCCCAATGGGCAGCGCCTCATCTGCGCACACAGATTTGGCTCATCTGCGCACACACATTTTGTTAGCACTTGCGCCTCATCTGCGCACACAGATTTGACTCATCTGCGCACACAGTCCATGGGGGAGACTCAAGTGCGCACACAGGCCCTTTCCCGGATGTTTGCTTAGTTAAAAGGGTCGTCAAGATGGAACGGCCACTTCCTCCTCTAAATTTTACCCTCGGGTGGCTCACCAAAGGGTGAGTCAACTTGGAATGACCACTTCCTTCTCTAAATTTTACCCCTGCCTGGCCCACAAAAGGGTGAGTCAAGCTGAAATGGCAACATCCTTGTCTAAATGTTACCCTCGGGTGGCTCACCAAAGGGTGAGTCAAGTTGAAATGGCAACATCCTTCTCTAAATTTTACCCCTGCCTACCCACAAAAGGGTGAGTCAAGTTGAAATGGCAACATCCT